GCAAGGCATTAAGGAAAGCTTTTTATATGCATATGTATTCAATCCTCACAAGAACCTCTTGAGTGACAGGTAACATTACTATATCCTGGGTTTTTTGGGATGAGGACACTGAGGTTTAGGATGACTAAACCATTTGCATATGGCTACATTGTTATTACGTGGTAAAGCCAGAAATGAAACCTGAGCAGACTGATTACAGACTGTTTTAAACCAACAGGTATTATGAGGAAAGGGATTTTTTGCTACAGGTATTCTGAGATCCTTTACTACACTTGGTTGTATTATAAACTTTTATGAAAGTGGCATTTTTGCAAATATGTTTGAACTCATGGCCTTCTCTTTTCATTCAAGAATTTCCCAGGATTATGATTTTTTAAAAAATACATCTTGAAAAATCCTGAAGTAAAGGGCACATAGTATATTATATACTCAAAAGAGGTGGAAAGGGTGGAAGGAGGGGCTTGGCTCTGGTCAGGAGGAAAGCGAATGGTGCCCTGTGGACCACACACTGCCTTTGGCTCAGACTCCACCATGAATACACTACTCATATTCAAGCTGCCCCTGTCAGTAGCCAGGCGTCCATTTCAGATAATCCATTAGTCTTTCATTCTTCTTACTATACTTTTTTAAAGAACAAMAAAAAAAATTTTTTTTTGAGCTTCTTCTGCAAGTAAGCTAAGTGACACTCAATCATCTGTCTCTTGGCACCAGAAGGCACAGGATGTACATGAGCTTGGGCTCTGATCTCTATTCCATCTCCTTTAGTTGTGTGGCATGAAGCAAATGTTCTTTAGCTGAGCTAAGCCTCAGGTTCCTTGYTTTGACATACAGAAATAACAATACCACTGCTCAGGTTGTTTCTGGAATTAACTGACATCCATGCATATCTCAGGATCACTCAGGGTTCCCWTTTTTTGTGGCTGTTTAATTCAGACTAGATACTTCCTCGCAGCACCAAGAAGAAAATAATCAGTCAGTATTCTATCACTGAAGGGATTGGGGTCAGTGGATTACTCTGGCCTTATCTTGCTGCCATAAGGCCAGTTACACAGGATGAGAAATTCCAGAATCTTTCAAAGAGGAGGTTCATACAGGTTCTTTATATCTAGGGGAATGATCCTTTCTACTTCCCATCTTTTGAAGGTTTATTTAAAATACATGTATGTGTGTGCGCGTGCGTGCGCACGCGCACACGCACACACACACACACACACCTGAATGTCTGGAAGGCAGGAGAGAAAGGGAGGAAAGGCTTAACATATATACGGACTATAGAACTGGCTCCTGAGTAATCAAACAAGTTTCTCAAATGCCTGTAGCTCTCCTATTTTGAACCCCACATTCTGTGGACTGCATCTTGTCTCTAGCTTAGTGGGAAACCCCCCTTGGCTCCAGACGCCCTAGAATGCCCAACTGCTGCTCAGCTTTCAGAACTGGCCTGGGGTGATAAGTCATGCCTGCTGAGCGTGTCTTGACTTGAGCCCGTTTTCAGCTTTCACTCTTGGAGAACAAAGCACACACAAGGGAAGGAATAGTGCAAGTCAGGCCCAACTGTGTAGCCAGAACCAAGAGATTCCGAGCCTGGGGTCCTACACTTTTCATTGTTGTGACCAAAATACCAGAGAAGAACACCTTAGAGAAGGAAAAGTTCACTTTAGGATCACAGTTTCAGAAGTTCCGTCCATGGTTAGTCGATAGCATTGCTCTTGACTGAGGTGAGGCAGAACGTCATGACAAAGGAAAGCTCATGGTGTCCAAAAATAAGAGAAAGGAAGAGGGGCCATGACACTTATAGTCCAAGGGCAATCCCCGAGTGGCCTTGCCTACAGTTACTACCCAATAGTCTATTCAAATTATTAACCCATCAAATGGGATTAATCCACTGATGAGGTTACAACTCTCATAATCCAGTCTTTTCACCTCTGAACATTGCTGCATTACCTAAMATATGAGCTCCTTGGGGGACATTTTTAGATCCAAACCAGAATACCTATCTACCCAAGGAATTCAGATAAAAAATAACAAAGTAAAGCTTAGTTCCAAAGTTCCTACAAAGGTCTAGGCACAGCATATGTATTGTTATAAGAATGCTATAAAGTAAATATGTTTATCAATTTTATAATAAACTAGATTGATTATATGACTTGCTGATTCAGCCAGTGAACAGAAGGGCTAGGATATGAAACTAGGTCTTCCAGACTCCAAAATCAATTTCTCTCAATCACACTAAAGCTATAACCCAAAGGGAAGTGACAAGGGCAAATGTCATCAAGGCCATAGACAAGGCCAGAGACCAGGTAAGAAACAGAGGACAGAGCCCAGGGGTTCAGAGCTGAGCAGAGGCAGGATAGAGAAAAGCAGCCTGGGAATAATGTGGAGGGATGCAGAAATTGCTGTGAACATCCTCTGTTTGTCCTTGATTTTGCCTCACTGTGGTTAGCACATAGGGTGCAGGCACTGCCTTTGGGGCCAGGAAGAGAAACTGGCACAGCTGGAACTCCCCACATCTCCTGGCAACTGGTGAACCTCCACCAGACTAGAGCCRGGGGAGGGAATGGTAAGCTGAAGGAGTCCAGAAAGGAAGGTCTGTGGAGCTGGAGGTGAGGGTAGAGCCCTAGAGCAGCATCACTGGGTTTCAGGCTACCAGGGGCTCATGCCTTTGAAGTCAGGCTACCTGGGTCCAAATACCTCCTCTGTTTGCCTGCGAGGTGACCTTGAGCTGCTGCTTAATTTTCCTGAGTCTATTTACTCATCTGTGAGATGGAAATAATAATTTGAGATGGAAATAATAATTGAAGGGCTKTTCTGAGAGCTCTATCAGCACTTACCAGGCTCTTGGCATGGGCCCTAGAACATATTAAGTGCTCAGTAAATATTAGCTTTCACTCTTAGTCCCAGGTCCATGGTTGTAAGGCCTGGGAAAGAAAAGCACATTTTTYCTTGTAGGCAGCAGAGTACATTAGCTGACTTTCTATTGCCTCCAGATGTGGTTTCCAATCCTGTGGACTTTTTTTCTGGGCCCTTCTTTCTCCATCCCTTTTCTTATGCATACTTATGTTTCTGCACCACCTCAGCTGGGTGCAATGTGGTGCAGTGACTCAGGAGGCTGATGCAGGAGGATCGCTAGTTCAAAGCAGATTCAGCAACTTAGGAAGTCTATGCAACTTAGGAAGGCCATGTCTCAAACAAGAAATAAAAAGAGGCTGGGGATTTGACTCAGTAGTTAAGTTCCTCTGGGTTCTGRGTTCAATCCCTGGTACCAAAGAAACAACAACAACAACAAAACCCAGGAGTAAGCCTCAGGGACCCCTTTGTGTGGTGCCTCTAACCCAGGCAAGAAAGCCAGTCACACTCCTGATGTACTCACACTTTGGATTTGAGAATCAGACGGACYTGGTTTAAATCCCAGCCCTGCCACTTTTTAGCAAGTTGAGTCATGCTTCAGAGTCTCAGAGTTGGTCATCTTATGAAATGGGACTAATAAGATCTACTTCACAGATGCGYTGTGAAGATAAACATTTTTAACCCTCTGGCAAGAGTTACAGCACTCACCTTCTGAAGTCAACACACCTATCTTAGCAGGGATCCCATCACCTCTGGGACTTGGGCTTTGTGGAAGGCTCCAGACCCTCCCTAACCTGCAGCAGTGGTTCAACGGCCCTGGTCCAGCAGAGAAAGCCCATAGGCTGTGCAAGTGGCTGCCCTCCACCTTCCCCCTGGCTTTACCTCACCCCCTTACGCCCACACCCCAGCATCTGTTACCCAGAGAGTCAGATGCCAAGCCTTGCCTGAGACTCTTCCTGGGTTCATTTGATATATTGCCATTTTGTTTTTAAAGAAAAGCCAATATCAGTGCGGGGACCCTGGGRAAGGCAGATCCTGTCACTGCCGACTGCCAGCTGTGTCCTGTCTCTCTCATCCTGCCTTGGGGGACCCAGGTGATCCCTTTACAGAGTCTCACAGCAGGCAACTGCCCCAGGTCCCCATGGAGGCAAGGACAGCAAAACTCTGGGCATCCTGGGAACCTGGGGCATTCCCTGAGCAGAGCTCTGCAATTCTGCTGAAAGGCTGGTCATTGTCTGTCTTTTCTTGATGAGGAAGTTTTCCAGAAGCTAGGTGCTCCGGACCTTACCTTGCAGAGAGAAGAGTAGGGAGTCCCACTGAGTGAGTTCCTGTAGTGTTCTAGGCACTGTAGAGGCTCTTACTCATGGTAACATCCTCCCAACTGCATGGAGGGTCTTACTATGACTGTTTTGTTTTRTTTCCATTTCTCTTTTACAGACGAGAAAACAGAGGTTCAATAACTTGCCCACAGTCAAACAGCTGGAAAAGGAGAAGATAAGAATTCAAACAAAGTCTGTTTAACTTAGGAATCCATTACAACATGCTGCCACTTAAAGACAGTGTAAATAATAAGTTTTTAAATAGTGTTTGAGAGGGAGGAAGGAGGTGGGCTTGCCACTCTGCCCTGTGCTGCTTTGGCCAAGTTGAGAGCAGTGGAAATCTGAGTAACTCTCCAGTCATTCCCCCTTTCTGTTTTAGGAAACATAAYCCCTAACTCTTACCAATGCATAGTATCTGGGGAGTTTGCTGAATTTGCCTACCTCAGAAACAATGTACCTTGGGAGAGGTTTTGGACCAGAATGTACAAACAAGCTGGCTTGCAGACCAAGCCTAACCTAGAGAGATGTTCTGTTTTATCATCTATTTAGTGTTGTATTTTTTTTTCTTAAACTTCCACTTAACATTAAAAAAAACCACACACACACAGCAGAATCACATAAAACACAGCAGACTCACATAMAACAGCAGGTTTCTGAATTATCTTRAGAAATCAGAAGCTCTAATAACCCTGATCCTCCATCCCCTTCTGGCCTCTTGGGCTAGAGTGCAGCAGCTGCCCCTTGGACAGAAGCAGAAAAGCACTTCCTAACTTGCCACCTCCCCACTACTCCCTCCTACCACTGTGGTTTCATGCCTTTCCCTCTTTGCTTCTCTAGGTGTTCCCTTCCCAAAGAACTTTCTTCAGATCTGCAAGAAGATCCTGTGCCGCCTTTTCCGAGTCTTCGTCCATGTCTACATCCACCACTTTGACCGGGTCATTGTGATGGGCGCAGAGGCTCAYGTCAACACCTGCTACAAACACTTCTATTACTTCGTCACAGAGATGAACCTCATAGACCGCAAGGAGCTAGAGCCCTTGGTAAGTGTTACCCAWATCACCCCCAGGAGCTCAGCCATTTGCCACAGTGCATTGCCAGGCCCATGGAAAATGCCTACAATGTTAGCTGGAGAGTTGCAGAACTAGAGGGCTCAGTAGTCAGCTGAGCCCAGAGACTCCAAGATGTCCACTGTTGCCATTAAGTGTCTGAGATTGTTYCCTGAGAGGTGGCATAATGTAGGGGGTGGGTATGGTGGTTTGGGCTGGAGGAAGTAGCTTTAATTCTCAACTCTGAAACCATTCACTTACTTACTTAATATCTTAAAGGGGCATCTTGGATCTCTTATGGTATCGCTTACATTATTCACAAGGATGTTTCTATCAGTAAATGAATATTTTAACACCTACTCTGTGCCAGCTGTTGGGCATACAAAGTTAAGTAAAATTGCCTTTGAGAAAGAGTGGAAGTAAGCCTTAAACAAGAATTAGTGCCTTCACAGTGAATCCACTATAGTGAAATTATAGTGAATGTGTTASAATTCAGAACACTGAAGATGAAGCATTAGGATTTGTGTATAGGTGAGTGAGGCTTATTTTCACTTTCTTTCTAAGCTACTTTCACCATTGKATTCAAGGGGTGCTTTGGAATTTTAGGACCCTAAAAATCCCATCCCCTTTGGAATCGGTAGGTACTTTAATGTGAACACTTTAATCATAGCAATTTCCACTTGATTGAGTACTTTCTTATACAGTAGCATACTTTGCTTTGTATTAAAATCAACGTTTCTTTTTTAAAACAGTTAAAGTGGTAGTTTTGCTTAGTACAGCTCACAGAGCAACCAAAGTTTCATCTAAATTTATTTGAGTGACGTCCAGAATGCTGGGGACAGGATATCTGTTTTTGCCACCCTGAATCTCCTTATTTACATGTTTTAAATTATAGGTTTTTTATGATGTAGGTACATCTAGGTTGACAGGTCAGACAACTGCCATTGAAAAGACTTTGTTATACTCACACAACCCAAAAACAAGGGTCAGCCAGGAGACCAAGGGAACAAGGAAAAAACGGGCAAGAGCCTTTTCTGGAGTTTCCATGAGAAGGAATGGGAATGGCAGGATAAACAGGTTTAGGGTTCACCAGTTTGAATAATCTCAGCAGATTCTGGGGCACAGGAGCTGTTCCTACTTGTCTGGTCCTGGCCCTGGGGCTGTTGGTGTGAGAGCCTGATGGAGGAGGTGGGCTCTGGATTGGCTGRTTTGTGTTGGCTGTTGTGTGAACAGTTTGGGTAAGAGCTGTTTACTATCTCTAGGAATTAGCCAGTGCTGCTGGGAGGGGCAGCGCCTCCAGGATCAATAGGGCCCAGATGTAAAAGAACCAAAATACAAAAAATAAAAGACATGTTTAGTATAGTACAGCACCTGTATTTGGCAAAGAAGATATTGATGAACTTTATGTCACCTTTAGAATTTCTCAATTCACAATCTATGATCGTGCTGTGGGAGTACGTGGCAAAAAATATTTTTCTTTGCATCACTAAACTCTTCTGAAATACAGCAAGACTTTTTGCATACAATTAAGATATAKCAGCCTGGTGCATACCTGTAATCCTAGCAGGTAGGGAGGCTGAGGAAGGCGGATCACAGGTTCAAAGCCAGCCTCAGGAACTTAGCAAGGCCCTCCCTAAGAAACTTACCAAGACCCTGTCTGAAAATWAAAAAAAAGATTTGCAGATGTGGCTCACTAGTTAAGCACCCCTGAATTTGATCACTGATACCAAAAAAAAAAAAAAAGTTATATCATTGGCTAAAGAARAGCTAACCTTCTTCATTTTCTTTCTCAACAGTTTTCTAGAAAGCTCTGGGTGAGGGCAGAAACTGAGTTATCTCTGCACATAGTTGGACAACTCAAATAGAAATAAACTGAAATTCATTGATGGTGGAGTTTTACTAGTTTGTCCTTTATAAAGGCTGTTGAGGGTAAACAGCCACCACAAGAAGAAAAGGTTGTGCAAATAACTCAGGGAAGTTAAAAGAGTGGAAACCATTGATAAAGCTAATTTCATAAAATGTCAAGGACAAAAGAACGATTGGGGAGGGGCCATGTCAACGAAGAGGTGGAGGACATGGTTCTGCGTCTGAGGGTTTGAGTTCAGTTCCCTTTAGTGAGTATCAACAGGTGGAAGAAAAACACCTTCCCCAAAGGCATGCCTTAAAGAAGGCCTATCCTGAGTGCCCACTTGTTCAGTGTTGCTGAGCTAAAGGAACAGAWTATCAGATGGATAGAGCAGAAAGTCAATTTCTCCTTTATGCACAGAAGCATAAAGACCATTGTAGGATAAAGCTGAGTATAAATCAGCAAGTAGAGAAAGCCTTTCTTTGCCATCAAAAAAAAAAAAAAAAGAAAGAAAGAAAGAAAGAAAGAAAAAATAATCTTGTTTTCTCTCTAACTGAAGAAGAACGGCCCCAGGAATTCTAGCACCTTGCAGTGCCAGGAGCTGACTTGAAGTCTCATAGTCACAGGCAGGCCCTGAACAGGCCCACTTTGGGGTCTGAGAGAAAAACTATGATTATATTAACCAGGAATTATTAACAGTGGAAGTGGGCAAGAAAATATAAGTTTTTCCCCAGAAGTTTGTTATTTCTATAAATTTCGTAGGAACAATATTCTTCCTACACTTATGTTTTATTAATTATAGTTATAGGGAAATTAATGTTAGTATTTTTTAATACTTAATTTTTCTGAAATGATATATTTGCTTCACCCAAACCAAAACCTATAAAGCACAAGAATGGATGCTGTGACAGTTTTTGAGGGTGTGTTAGGATGTCAGGCTCTGGATGCTTAATCTGGTGTCTAGGAAGAGTGCTACACTTGTGGATCATTATTGCTAAAACTTACGTAAGTTGATGGTACTGGAATATCAGACTTCTGAGTCTGCGGTTGCAATGAACACGTTATGATCAGATGTGGCATATCAAATCAATGCATTTTTGTCTGATTTGCCTATTTCAAGTACTCTCTTTGCACAAAGCAAGTTGCTCAAATATTCTACATGCGTAAGAAAGATAGGCTCTCCAGAAGCTTATAAAGCAGGCTGGGAAATAAAATATAATGAATCTCTCCCAACTTCAGCCCTGGAAGGATGAGGAAGAAATCAGTCTGTGCCTTCACATTCTGTTCATACATTCTTTAGACTCTACTAGAGCCAGGGGCCAGAAGGGCACCCTTTGTCCAGACAGTTTTCTTTAGAAAATTAGCATTCCCAGAGGTTTCACAGCACCCGTGGTGCKCTCCTGGAGTCATGCCTTGGGATTCCAGTGAAGAACTCAGAGACCCACCACGTTCTTTCCTCTGTGCTTCCACCACGCACAGCCACCCTCTGCTCCCAGAGACCAACCAGCTGCTTTCTTGTGACGTTGACTGAGTATCTGGCATGTGGTTACTTTGAGGATCCAGCACACTGAAGGGTAGGAGATTCAGTGTCATACAAGGCAGGAGACAAGACTCAGACTCACTGGGTTCCAACCCTGGACCCTCCATTTATTAATTTGCAACCTTAAGTAAGATACTTAGCTTTTCAAAGCCCCATTTTCTTCATTCATGGAATAAGTATATATAGAGTTCTAAAAATGAAATGGGTTAGTCACATGGTAAATGCTTAAGAAATATTAGCTGTTAAATGACATCATGAATGTAAGAAATGTACTTAGCACATAGTATGGAAGAATTACCCTAATTCTTCCCTAGGTTTCTCAGCCTTTTCTCCATCTTAATGAACCCCTAGGTAGCTTTGAAGCAAATATAATTAACTGTACTTAAATCAGTCTCTCCCATGGGGCTATCAGCTCTCTGAGGACTGGGAATAAGCAGGACATAAACCTCCATGGTCCCTAGTTCATCATAAATACCTAATATGTTTTTGAATTGGGAAGAGTACTTTAGGGACAAAGGGATTGCACCCCCCCGCCATTCCTTTGTACCTTCCTTACCTCAGAACATGCCTGCAGATCTTCCTTAGCCATTTACCTTTTGGAAATAATACTTTACCCTATCCAATTTGTAACAGAGATTAAAAACAAAATAAGGCATAAATGAGTGAAGGGAAGCACTGTAAGCTTCAGACTTGACAGAGAAAAAGGTGGCCACAGCCCTCAATGATCTCTGTCCCAGATTCCAGATGGATCACCCAGGAAATGTCAAATGCTCTCACACTGCCTTTGTGTCCTGGTATGCCAAACAGGGTGACCAACACTACCAATTCTAGCACTGAAAATTCCATGTCATGGGAAAAACCTTGGTCCCAGGCAAATTGTGATAGTTGGTCACCCTCTCAGTCCTCTTAGTGGGAATACRGTTTGGAATTCAGAAGCTGAGAAAAGGTCACACTGGCCAGCACAGTGAAGGCCAGCATGTCTGTCAGCCTCCAGGGCTTGCACTGTGCCTCCCATTGGGACCTGCTGCTCCACCTCTGCAGCCAGCAGCCTGGGAACCCAGGGARACACTTGCCATTTCACTTGCTATCTGACAGGGAGGGGGAGGCTGGCACASTGACAGATGTGACAGATCATCCATTTCTCATGTAAATGTATTGGCTGAAGATGACCCGAACTCAAGCAAGTTCAGAGTTGGAGGAAAGGAGCCCAAATGATGCTGGTAATTGGAAAATGGGCCAGGCCCTGATTGAAGAAGCACAAACARCCAGCAGTATTTTGTTGGCCTTTCACTAAAAACAAGATCAGACTCAATGAGGGCTGTTAGCCATGCAGTAGCTGTGAATGAAGAGCTGGTTAGGGCAGGAAGGGAAAGATTGGCAAGGTGGGAAGAACAGACAGGAAGGTACACCCTAATATAGCCGCTGACCCTTGAGTGACCTAGGTCCAGAGCCTTCCCATTCTTTCCCCCAGACCCCATTCCTTATTGCTAACCAGGAAAATGATTATACCATCACCCACTTTGTAGAGGTGCTGCTGTGAAACCAAGGGTTGCAGCAGGGCTATTCTGTTACTTCTGGCTGGGTGCTTGGGCCGCAGATCTGTGGTTC